AAATAGGTCAATAACAATCACATGTGATTATGCTAATCATGTAATGCGATTTTGTTAAACTAATAATGTGATAAACGTGCTATGTACTTCATGATAAATTCTAATACAAATATGAACTTTCTTTATGATGCAACTCAAAGTATACGTCCATACGATTCCAAAAATATAGAGAACGTCTGAATCTGACTTCGCATGAAGAAGTTATGATAAACCGAACACTATAAATCTCTATAATAAGAGGAATTTAAAATAGACTTAGAGTTAGCTATTGGATTCTAAAAGAGAGTTGTAGTACTCGTAAATACCTACGCGTGCATATAACAACGTCAAAAACAGAGTTCGTATGCAAAAGTTATGACCTTCCGAAGTTATAGCTGTCTGAGAGCACGACACTTGTTAGAAACCCTAATCTGACTGGGCTCACGACGTGAGCACTAATTCTCACGACGTGATGGGTCAAAACGCCACTTTTCAAGGCTAGAATGCAGATGGCAAGTCTACGGAACGGGATCACGACGTGAGCATCAATTCTCACGACGTGAGGAGTCAAACGGACACTATGCAAGCCTAGAACGCAGGTGGCGAAGCTACGAGGTGATCAGGCATGGCTCACGACGTGAGCAATGAATTCTCACGACGTGAGAGGGTCAAAATCAGCCTATAAATAGCCATTTCGACCCCAAGGTTCCTCACACCAATTCTTCTCTCTCTCTCTCATTTTCTGAAGGTCGTTTCCCTTCCCGAGCCTCACAACAACGAACCGCTGACTGTTTTCAGTTAGATTTTGTCAAAGCGCGATATTAAAGTGAGTTTCACGGCCCCACTTTTTAATATTTTCGGGGGAAAACGCATGCTAAATATTGTATACACGTTAATATTATGTCTATATGATAGTATATTAGTATCAACGTAGATAGTTATATTAACCGGGATATAGTTGTTTAAATATAATATTTTGAATATATACAACTATTATCAACTTGTTAGCATGTTATTATACTAATGTAAATCTTGAGTTATACTTAGGATTCTATATATGTTGTGTGCGATATAAATCTGAAGTTATATTCGGAAGTTCTATATGTTAATTTATAAAGTATGTTGCTATTATTGGTTTTATGTCAAGATAAAACTTGGTATTCTATATGTTGTTATTGTTAGTTTTATGTTAAGATAAACCTTGGTAAGCTATATGTTGTTATTGTTGGTTTTATGTTAAGATAAAACCTGGCTTTACTTCAAGTTATAGCTGTTATACTGCCTAAATGATATGAAGTTAGGAGTAATGTTTAAAAGCATAGTCTAGTAACTTAGGGTTTTAGACATGAAAATGTTTTTGTTGTTAGAGCTATAGGAAGCCGTCGAAGTCTACATGAGTAATTGTATTCATCAACTAAGATTGGGGATCTTAGCGGAAATCTTCTGAACTGTAACCGTTAATCCCGTGTGAGCGAGGAAGTCGTGTATAATTAGTATACGGGTTGACCACCCCGCTTGTGATTGTTAGCTACAGTCAACCATAAGCGAGTGACGAACTATCATTTTACTTGCTATTGTTCCGGCATCGATGAAGCGTACGGTGTTGTCCTCATGGAAATCATGAGTGGGTTGTCCTCATGGAAATCATGAGTGGGTTGTATCAGAGGTATTATGTCAAAGCAGCAGTTACAGGCTCATGGTAGCAAATTTTAAAAGCATTATACTTTGTCGATATACAAGTATAAATGTTAAGTATAAGTTTCCCAAAGACTTATACTCTAAGTATAAAAATCGGGTAGGTATATTACTTGTATATTAAGTAGACCACTATACCTATTCTACTTACTCGTATAGAATTGAAATAGATTTATACGTAGCGGTTTTACTCGTATAGAATTGAAATAAGATTTATACGTAGCAACTTAGTTTGTATGGAATTACAAACATTTATATTTAAACATATAAGACTTATAGGTATATACTTATTTGGTAAGTTAAACCATTATACCTAGGATATATATACTAAATGTTTGAGAGTCAAAATGATACTTTCAAAACTAAACTTTTGAACTTAGAAAAAGTATTATTTTTATATGGAGTCAAAACCTGTGAACTCACCAACTTTATGTTGACGTATTTTAAATTGCATGTGTTTTCAGGAAGTTGATAACTATGATACGAGAAATGACGTTACACCGCCCGGTGTTTCCGCCGACGGCCGGGGTGTGACACCTTTTGGCTATGTAGTGTGAGAGGTTCTACTAGTGTCTAAACATAAACAAGCATAGATAGCCAAATTGATGAACCTGGCTAAGAGAAAAAAACATCTTTTTATAACTAGAAATTTGTGCATCTCATTGTTCATCAAAGAATTTATCTTCCATTTTTACAGAGTGATATTTATAACGTAGAATTTTCCTAATTCATTGTTAGCAGACTAAAAAATATATCGAAATCATTGAGTTTCAAATTATAAAAGGCACAAGTAACGAGACATGATTAATCGCAGAAATCAAAATGGAGCATGAGTTACAGTTAAAGGAATATAAAGTAAAATCGTTATCATATCCAACAAATTTTTGAAAATATAATACAGAAACAAAAAACTATATCAAAACAAGGAGATGATAGAATGTCTTATCACCTTATGAAACGAAGCATAATAAACGACTTGAACTAGCGAGTATGAGGTGCGTGTTTATCGAGATTTGCTTGTGCAGATTTACTCACGAAATTAACGATTTTTACCAACCCGGTGAAGAATAATGAGAGTGATGAACAATGAGACCCAACATAGGAGCAAGGCCAAAAAATAGGTATGGCACTTGTGAGTGATAAGAAGATCGTTGAATAGCCACCAATGACAACGTTGGAGCCATTGAGGATCCATCCTAACTACAATTACATATAACAAGCTCTGTTTTTTTGTTTCTTTTTTCAAGTAAAATCTTAAACAAAATCTTATGCATTTTATTGATGTATTATTTTTTTTCCTATTTGTTTCAAAGAAACATGATTAAACTTTTAAAGCTCTGTTTTTTCATCAATTGATTGAGAAATGTGGCTTAAGGAGAATGTGAAAGGAGACAAAACGAGAGAATGAAGTTTTAATCGGAAGATAAATTGAATTTGAGTGTTGTTTTTTAGTCTGTTAGTTCATTCTCCTAATTTGAGTTTGTTGTTGAACTTGATTCTATTGAGAGTTTGTTAAATATTTAACTAGAGATTAGATTACATAAAATACATAATTATAAATATATTTGATATTTTTGAAGTAAAATAAACATCAAATACACTTTACTTTATCTTTTTTTATTATATATATTAAAGAATAAATAGTATTACAAAATCTGTAAGTGGGAATTATACAAAATAATAATGATAAACTATTTACAATATAAAATATTTAATCATATTATGATAAACTGACAAGATTTTGTAATGACATGGTTTTTGAAAAATTATTTACAATTTTAGTTAAATTTATAATAGTTTACATATTTGTAAAAACTTTAAATCATTTTTTCTTCTATAACAACTAATGACAAATGAAGTAATTAATTCTTAGATTGTTTATTTGTTGTTTTAATGGTTTGAAGTATATCATAAATCTATAAGGTTTAGGTTGTAAATGTGAATATTTGTAATTACTTTGTTGCAAATATAAAATTAATGATTACCTAATTTAAAAAGTCAACAATATTAATTTTTTTAAAAGTTAAAGGATCGTGTGAGTTAACATTGCCTATATCATGTCAAGAAATTGAGAACTAATAATATATAGACACACAATTGCACAATTACGAGGGAAAACAAAAAATTTCTTTCTTTTCCATTCCTTCAAACTCGAAAACACAATTGGTTTTTTTTTCCTTCCATTTCTTTTCCTTTCTCTTTTTGGCTTCCATTTTCTTAGTTTTAAAATTCGAGAAGATGATGCTTATGTATGCTATGAAACAACACTTGTATTGAAATTAGCATGCAAACAACTTAATGACAAATCCAATGTATTCTAGGCACTCTCGTAAGGGGTTTTCGATATATGTGTATGTAATATGAATAACATCTATATATATATATATATATATATATATATATATATATATATATATATATATATATATTTATGTTACAGGTTTGAAGGACGTCACTTCATATTCACAATATTCGGTTCCACCAGAATGTAACAGTTCCTTAGATTGCTTTAATCATTGTGGAATGTTTGGGACTCCTATTTGAAATAATCATCAATGTGTTTGTCTAAGTAATGGTGAACAAAAGACCCCACTCCAGCATATGCAAATCAATAAAAATGTATATGAATAATGTCAAAATGCAATATAAACTGAAAACAAAATGTAATGATTAATATGAACTTTTCAATTTATACAACTTAAATCTTTTTTATCTGGGACATATATGTGCATAAACAAACTAATGTTACATCTTATATGGCATATGACTATTCTATTTTGTGACCTATATACAATGTAGTGGTATAATTTTGGTGCTCCCCAACAAAGACACTATCAGATCGACCCAACAAACATAATTCTATATATTGTATAGTAGTACTAGTAATATATTTTATAGTCTAGAATTAGTGCTATATTGTATATTATTTATATTTATTTTATACATTCATTCATGTCGAATTTTGTTTCGCTTTCAAGTTTTTTTTTATGCTTGTTGACAAATGAGTTCAATAAGAGAAGACAGAACAATTATCAGAAGTATGTACTTCGAAAAAGTAAGTTTAGTTTAACTAACATAATTAGCATATTCTTGTAAATTTGGCCTTCAATATGGTTGGTACATTTCAGGGTTTTGTGAATACTCAAACACTCATGTCTCTCAAGTGTTTGTATTTTACTGGAGTATGTGTGAGTATGAGCATGAGATGATATAGGATTTGTGTGAAATGTGAAATCTTTTACACTACTACTACAGTAGTATAACTTATATATATATATATATATATATATATATATATATATATAATATATATATATATATATATATTACTGATGAAGATAAACAATAATAACTAGTAGTGTTGTACAACAAAGCGACTGTAATGTATAAAGCCATATAATTCTTGACACACTAGGATTGGGTGGGGCCCACGAAACAAAAACACTGGTTTGGTTGTTTCTCTATGACTTATACCCACATTTCTTGTGCTTCTTCTTTTTTGTTATTCCAGCAGACCAGAGACAGGTTGGGTGTTATGGGCCCACATTAATTTGGAGAAAATGAGGTAAATCTGAGTAGAGTAGCTAATCGGTCTGTGGAAACAGAAAGCTAAATCCAGAATTCTCACGGATTAGATTTGGAGGCTCCACATCCTGGATCTCTATCTGCTCCATTGACTTTGATATATCATCAACCGAAAACGGAATGCTGCCATATATATAATATTAATAACCGGGACCCATAAGTAATAAGTAATTACTAAAAAAACCTTCTTAAATGCCATTTCTATTCCCAAAAGGTAGGTAGGAGTAGGAGATCTAACCTGGAATCATCATCCAACAGGAAAGAATTACTAATTGCATTGTTTTCTTCAGTCATCATCACCCTCATGCTCGATATAACCTAATCAACAACACACAGATACATATGTTTCTTCAATTTCTTAATGGGGGAAAAAAAAGACATGAAATGAAATGAGGTATTTACTTTAGAAACTTACTTCTGTGGACACACTATGTGTGCCGTATTTATCATCCCAATACATTGTACTAATCCGGTACAACTGTTGTACACTAAGAACCTGTACACCACAGATTCATGTAAAAAAAAAAAAAAAGGAAATTAAGAAAATGTCATTCTTAGGATAACTCACAGGACAGAGACCACGACTTATTTCCTCCAGGGTTTTCTTTGGCTTTTGATGAATAACCTAGATTCAATTATATTTCATTTGTGAAAGCAAAACAAATTAAATCCTGAAAACCCAGAAATAAAATGTTATTCTTTTGAGAGAAAATTATAATATAATATAGTACCAAAAACCCGATAGCCTGCCGTATATGTTTCAACTCCTCCCATGCTGAACCTGCATACTGCACTTGTTTTTGTTTAACAAAAAGTAATTTTTTTTTTTAAAAAAAAAATAACACAAGACTCAAAAATAGATACCTCATCAGTCGCATAATAACACCAGTTTTTTAATTCAGCAAGTCCTGCTTTCACGTATTCACCGTTGCTGAATGAACAGCATTCACGTCTCAAAAGAAGACTGCAGAGTGGAAAAATAAAAATAAAAGAGAATAATCATAATCTTGAATAAAATTACAATATTGTGATTGTGATTCAAGTATACCGACCTGTTAAACAGTTGAACATTGATGAATGAAAATATTTGTGTGAAAATTTTGCGTACCAAAAATGGTGGTACCTGTAGGAATGGAATCAAATGAACTTACTATTACATATCAATTTTTCATGTTCTAATTTTAACTTTGGCAATAGTTAAAAATGTTTTGATTTTATAGTCGATGGATGATATATAGCAAAACAAGAAAAGAATAAATAAGAAAATTTGACTAACATGATTTGTTTTTAAGGTGTTCAAGAATTCCCCGAGGCTCTTGACAATCCCTTGCCAATGAGCAATCAAAGCTTGTTGAGCTGCGGTATTAACAGACCGTGATGCTCCACCCTTCACTAAGCTTGCTCTCGAAGTTCTTGGTGCCTTTAATTTAATAAATAAATAAATAATTAAAAATATCTGGTTAATAATAATAATAATAGTGGTGTGATTGATAAGGGATTACTTGAATACACAAGCCCAAGAGTGGAGATATTTCTTTCTTTAGATTATCTCGGATCATTCCATATATCTTTTCAACATAGGCTGTAAGTTGCTGTTTAAATAACAAAGCAGGATACTTGGCTTCCACTTGGCTTACGGCTTCTAGTGCACTTAACCCTCCATTCATAAACGAAAGGTTCACTCCTTGAGGAGCTCCACGGAAACTCTAACAATACATTTTAACATTTTATAAAATAATTAAAATCAAGAAAATATTAAAATCCAATAATACACTTACAGTCCTCCCAAAAAGCGTGGCAGATGTTCGACGACGTTGTGGGCCCAGTCCAGTTGCTGAACCACTTGCTTTAAGAGTGCGTTGAAGTAGAAGCAAAAGAGTCGAGGCATTCGATAACCAATACGCCAATATATCATTATTATCCTGTGCTTTCTTTTTTTTTAACACACAAAAAATATTAACATAACTTAGAAACCAAAAAAAAAAAAAATCCTAGCTGGAACCAACCTCGATTGCATGACCGATGGTCTGGATGATGCGATCAAAAACACATGTTCTTTCAACTTCAAAAGATCTCCATTGAAGAAGACATTTGTATATAATACAAGCTGCAATTGGTCTGTTCCCTGCAAATCCTATGTGTTTTCCAATGCATTTGATGAGTAGCTCTTGATTTTCCAACTGTTTTTCGTTCAGTGATTTTTGTGGTTTATCATCCAGTTCTGATAGATCCCTTGTGTTCATCGACACACTATGCAGATCCTAATAAATAAATAATATATTCTTAAAATCAAAGAAATAAAACGTTACATATTTGAGAACAAGAGTTGTGTTCAAGAGAAACCATACAAGAGGCGGCTTTGTATCTGCAAATAAATGTCCGCTGTCTGATCTCTGCAAAAATTGTAAATTGGAGTTGTTGTTATTATTATTATAATAATTATTATTATTACTATTACTGTTATTATATTAAATAATACCTGAAGGATAGATTTATTACGTAAGAGGAACTTATTAGGTGCCATTGCCACAGCTTGTTGGCGGAAAACTTTACTCTCTGATTCCAAATTCTGGAGCTTATCTTCCAGCCTAGGTAGAGTACAATGGAGAAGTTAGAATATAATGCGGAAATTTACCGAATTGCCCCTGAGACACAAAGCCTAACCTGGTCATGGAATCCTGTAGCTGTTGTACTTTATTATCTGAATCTTCCAGCTTCTTGCGTCTTTCTTCACTACACTCTTGAGATTCACCTAACTTCTTCTCTAAATCAGCAGAGTGTTTCTTTTCCGACTCCAACAACGCCTGCAAGGGCAAAAAGGTCAATATTCATTTCATGATTGTAAAAACGAAGATCAAGTTCATTACCTTTAACTCATTGATCTCTGTGGTCATGGATTCAATCTTTTTAGTATCTTGAACAAGTACTTCTTTTTCTTGAATGACAGGTGGCGCCTCTTCTACAGCTTTCCTGGCTGCCTCCTCTTTCTCCTTGACTAAATTTGCATTTGCTTCATCAAGTTTTTTTTGTAAAGCTTCCACAGCATTTTGAAATTTTTGAGCCTCACTTACTTTTGCTTCTTCCAAGTCAGTCTGAAAACATCAACTCTAGTTTAGACCTTTAAACATGTTAATCATAATGGTTGGTTGTAATCTTTTTTATAATAACATATAACGAAAATTTCAGGAAATAGCAATGTACTTAAGATATAATATACATTACCCTTAAACGTTTTTCCAACTGTATGCGCCACGTCAGCTCCTCCAATTGTTTTTCAAGCTTATCTTTTGCTTCTTTAAGTGCACCTGTTTCCCTTGCAGCCTGGAACAATATTAAATTAAAAAACATAAGTCACGAAACAAGTCAACAACAATTTAAAATTTAAAATTTAAAATATAAAATCAAAATGAAAATTGTAACTGACCATTTTAAGCTTTCGTAACTCTCTCCTTGCAATTCTTCCCCTCCATCTACACTGTGTAACTATAGCTCCCCTTTTTAGCTTTTTATAGTATTTAGAATCTCTATAACAACGCCATCGAGTCTGCAAAAAAATATATATATAATTTAGAAACTCGTAATATATATATATATATATATATATATATATATATATATATATATATAAGGATACAAAATGATAGATAAAGTTATAAAACGAACCTGAATTTTAATTGCAGCTTTAGTTCGTTTCTTAAATATGAACTCCTTACGAGCCTTTTGTCCACGTATGACAGTTTGCACTTCAAGCACAGCCACACGGAACTTACTGTAGGCCACACGCGCACGATACTTTCTCAAGTGCTTTTGGATTGTTATTGCAGCTCTTATCCTTCTTAACTCATCAAAACGTTTGCAAGCCAATCTACCTAAAAGTCATTGGAGTTATTTCAATAGTTTTCTTAGTAATAGGAGATTGAGATCAAAATTTATGATTCTAGAGGCTCACTTCTACAAAAAGATTGTATGACCACTGAAGATTTCCGAATTTCTATAAATTGTTTATGAGCAATATGTGTTCGTATTCTTCTTTGAATAATTTGTGCTGCACTACTCAGGACTTCTGTTCTTCTTGCATCTAGTTCAGCCATCTGTCCAGCTCTTAGAAACACCTTTGTTTTTCCAATCTGTATTATAACTTATAATTATATATATACATGGATTGGATATATGTATATATGTATGTTTACATACCTGAAAGCCTTTGATTCCCTTCTTTTCTAGAATCTTCCCACATGCAGTTTTTTCATCGAAGCTGGATGAGGGAATCAAGGAAATGTTTTTAAAGATGTGGAATTAAACAAATGGAAGATAAATGATAGTAATAAATCTAGGGTTACATTTGAGGGTGAAGAAAAGTTCTACCATCCTGTTAAGGCTTCAGGGCAAAGAAGTCCAAATCTGTTTACAAATTCAAAGAAAGCACGGCGTGTAGGGTAACCAGCACAGCTGATTCTGATTGCCTCTAAAACACCCTGAACAGTTTAGAATAGAATAAGAAAGATAGTTACATACAAGTGTAGAAAGGGAGGGCAAAATGGGAAATTCAAATAATTTATAGTCTACTCACTCCACACCGCAATTGTTGCAAGATGTTGGAGTTCTCAAATATTGCAGGTTTCAGTTGATTATTTGGTTTTACACATCTAATATAATGAGGTTCTGTAGCATTTAATGTCTCCATTAGTTGTTGCAATTGATACTGCATCAATTAAGAAAATGAATATTAACATCAGTCTCTTTAAGTATATTGTATATAATGGTAAAAAAGGGTACCTATTTCCTGCAATTTACCCTGATAAAAAAAATACCTTAAAACGAGAACCAATTGAAGAGAATTTAGAAGATTTAGGTGACTCTTCACAAACTGGAGGGAAAAGACCAGCTACAAAGGCACATCTAGAAGAACCCAATAAGTCTTGATGTTCAGGGACAACATAGTCTTTATTTTTGTCAAGAAATTGATTAGATTGGTATTGGACCTGAAATTTATAAAATAACAGAGGTACAATTAACAAAAAAACATAGAATTTAACATTATTTAGAAGCAAAATTTTGACTAAAACATGTATATACCTCTCCAGCATAATGTGCAATTGTGAAATCTGTACGTGATAACTTGGGTTTCACAAATCGTTTGTGATTTTTGAACGTATGATAAAGCTTATTTGAAAATGTTTCATGTGTTGACTTTGGGAACATACTAAAATAGAAACAAAAATATGTAATCATTTATATGAAATTTTAGTTAGAATATGTGAGGGGAAAAATTATTTTACCAAGCTTCATCCAGGAGAGCAATGATTCCACCAGGTTTCTGTGATATAAAATTATAAATTCAGAAAATTATATAAAACATATATCAGTTTGTATTGTATATATTAATACCTTTTCAATGAGATCTAAAACATCTTGGTTATCTACAAACTCAATGTAGCTCCAATTAATAGCTTCTTTTGTATATTCCTCTTGCTCCATTTTGAACACATGCTGAAATTCAAAAGGAGACTCTTCAGACAATTTCTTGATAACATATCAAAATAATGATAATCAGATTTAGTAATTATATACCTGGTTAAAATGTTGCTGTAGTTTCTCATTTGTGAAGTTGATGCAAAATTGCTCAAAGCTGCATGTGTATGATCGACGACATTAAAGATAAGAACTGTCAATTAACATCAGGAGTAAATTACAATAATAGTCCCTGTGGTATATTAAAAGTTATGGTTTTCGTCCGGATGTTTCATTTGTTGCACAGGTGGTCCCAAAAGATTAGTTTTGTCGCAAGGTTCGTCTGTGTTAAATCCAATGCAAAATGACTATTTTGCCCCCATCAAAATCTCTTTTATCTTCTTCAATTAAACTCCTAGAAAATCCTCAATGTTCCTTTTAATCTTAAACTCTAAACCCGAACCCAAATCCAAAAATAAACTATAACTAAGAAAATCAAGATCCAAATCAAAAGAAAACCCATAAATTTACCATTTTTATTCTTTTGATGACTGGGTTTGAACTTTTTATGCAATAAAATAGTTTAAAAAACTGTAAATTTGTGGGGGGTTTTTTATTTGGATCTTGATTTTCCTTTAGTTATAGTTTATCTAGGTTTCGGTTGGTTTTTAGAGTTTAAGATCAAGGAGATTGAGGATTTTTTAGGGTTTTAAAAGAAGAAAATGAAGAGAGTGAAGGAGATGAATAATGAGGGAGATGTAGTATTTTTTTTCTTTGGACTATACAAAGATTTTTTTATAACCATTAGTAATAGGGACAGGCCTTGCAACAAAACTAATATTTAAGGACCACATGTGCAATAAATGAAACATTTTAACGAAAAGCATAACTTTTGACATACCATAGGGTCTAGAGTTGTAATTTACTCTAACATCTGGCTTTTCAAAGTCCATATGAAATAATTTTGGAATGCATGGAGTATGAAAGTATTCAAAATATAAAGCTTGGGTGCCACCTGTTGTTCTTGAAGCTTTCAAAACCATAAATATCAAGAACCCCAATTAAACATTTTGATGTACGATCTTGCCCAATTGAAACATTAATTTTTTCCACCAACCTGCAAATTAACAAGTTCATAAAAGAGGTTTTTATTTTTAATAAATTATCATTAAAACAGCTTCATACTTCATACCAATCAAATAATCTTGAATATATTGTTTTAGCCAATCCATCTCTGCTGACTAATGCACTAGTTGGATCAAGACTTCTTTTGATAATTTCTTCAGGAGTAATCATCACTCTTTTACACAATGCATCTTCTAAACCCACATAATCACACCTGAAATAATGCTCATAAATTCACCACAACTCATTACAAATTACAAAAGGGCGAATTGCAAGAAAGAGCAATGTAGGATTCTACAATAAACAAATCAATGAAAGTACATGGCAATTTCTTGCATTCAACCCTTTATTAAATTCATAAAGTTTGAAGGATTTGGAAACAGATATACATAAGAAGCTCTGCTGTCATCTTTAGATGAAATTTAGCTCTTTCATCTTTTAAAACTGAAGAATCGACCTCTTTCCCTTTTGTGAATTCAATATTCCCAAGATGAAGAATAGCAGCAGTAACTCTAAAAATTGCTTCCTGTGAGAATAAGAAAAAGGTACTAATAACTCTTCCATATATCATTGAATAAATGGAAAAATGCAGGAAACACCAACATACTTTACTCTTTTTACCAATATTGGAAATATACTATACATTTTAATCATTATAGCAATGTAGTTACATTTATGTACATATAACAGGAACATGCTTACATTCTTTACTAAAAATAGCAATATGTAAAAAAGCAACTACATTATGTTGCTATTTTCTGCAATTTGGCCATGAATAAATAAATAAAAAATTATGAGGGGCTATAGTTTCATACCTGCTCTTCTTTACTTATTCCAACAATATCCATAGCTCTCCTTGTTGCAAGATACTCATGGGCATCATTAACATCAACAAGCTCATAGCATTTTGATTGGTTGAGATAGTGAAAAGATTTTGGGCTTCCTAACTGATACCTCTCAATTTCCTAATAACACAAAAATATAGCCTCAAGTTTATATAAAAAGATAAGTTGCTAACAAATTAATGATAATGTATATTTATATTATACCTCTTGTGGTGCTGCACATAGAAGGTAAAAACAATGATAGTTGCGTTCAGGATCATTTATTTGGCAAACACGAGATCTTTCTAGAAGATAAGTCCTGATGGCTGCTCCTGATATTCTCCCATGCTTGTCAAATTGGATCTCAACAAATTTTCCAAAACGGCTGGAATATTATTATATACAAGAAAATATTGTTAGATTGGAATCTATGAAAACACAAACACAATTCTAATTGATCACTTTATGGTAGCTACCAATCATATACTATTGGCTTGAGTAACTTTAAAAAAATGGTCCATGTGCTTTCTCACTTTTACCATGCGCAGTCTAAAATTGAAATATTTTTCCATTTTGGTCCTTATTTCATGGTTTAATATCCATTTTGGTCCCTATGTCTTTCTGATTTTGATCCTTATTTCAAGGTTTCATATCAATTATATTCCTTATTTCAAGTTTTTAAGGGAGCAAAATCGGTACAAAATCTTGAAATAAGGACCAAAACTGAAAAAGGTTTCAGTTTTGGACTAAACATGGTAAAAATCATAAAGCCTGTGGGCCATTTTTGGAATTTACTCTTTGTAGAGTAAGTTACATAATGGTCCCTGTACTTTCTGGTTTTTACCTTGATTAGTCCAAACTTGAAATCTTTTTAAATTTTGGTCTTGATTTCAATGTTATGTATTGATTTTGGTCCCTGTGAGTCTGTGACTTTCTTATTTTGAACCCTATTATAAGGTTCCAGGGACCAAAACCAATATGAAACCTTGAAATAAGGACCAAAAGTGAAAAAGTTTCGATTTTGGACTGAACATGGTAAAAATCATAAAACACATGGGCCATTTTTGTAAATTTACTCTAATTTATAATTATATTATCAAACACTAGAAACAAAAAATGAAGCCTAAAGAAAGATGACAAATGAAAGAGAAACATCAGTTTGTTTGTTTCATTACATAACATGAAGCAAATCACCTGGAATTGTTATTTCTAACAGTTTTAGCATTCCCAAATGCTTCAAGAACTGGATTTGACTGCACTCACAATGATGTGATGAGCTTAATCATGATTATATATATAATATATGTAAAGTGGCATAAACTAGAGAATAATAATTAAGTATAGAACTATACGTCATGTATCATACTTCGAGGACTTGTTGTTCAACTGTGCGACCTTCTGTAGCTTTCCTTCCTCCCAAATAAGCTAAATACCGCATCAGCATTTTTGTTGTCTCTGTTTTACCTGCTCCACTTTCCCCACTCACCAGAATGGAATTGCTCTTTCCCTCATTGATCATAGCCCTGATGATAGAATATACATATATATATATATATATATATATATATATATATATATATTGATTAGAATTAGAATACGACTTTTTGTAATAAGGCTTCCAATAAGTTATCCAACAATGACCTGTAAGAGACATCAGCAACTGCAAAAACATGGGGACTCAGTTCTCCAAAAGGTGCTCCTTTGTATTCATCCATCATATGACTATCATACAAATGAGGTAACTTTTGGAACGGATTGATTGCAATTAGAATATTGCCAGTGTAAGTCTGTCACCATTTGAAACATGTAAGGAAACAAAGCAATTTTAGTTAGGTTTTAATTTTAATATGAATAAGGAAACTTACATAAATTTCATTGAGTTCATATCTGCTTCTTATGTTCTGCAAGACTCCTGGCTCATGTAAATAAGATAGTTTTGTCATGTCATCAACACCACCAGCAGGAGCTTCTGTATCCTTTGGATACACTTTTGATAATTTAGCAACAACCTGAAACAGAAATCATGAAAAAACATTCATGTTATAAACAATCAGTCATTAAGAGTAAGATGAAAGTATAGTTTTTAAAAATAAAATGTGAAGTACAAACCTTTTTTAGGTCAGGAGTCTCGATTTCTGCTTCTTGCCCAGTAATTTTTGTAACCTGCCCATCAATCCATGCTTTGTCTGGGTCTTCAACCCAGACATAAGATCCTACTATGATATTCACTGAAGTACTCTGTTGTTGTACATAAAGTCACAGACATACTGTAAGTCTATGCAATATTGTTAACAGATATTAATAGTATATCTAAGTAGCCATATGCACATAAGGATGAATTGATTGATTGATTGATGGAAATACAGATGAATGAATGTAGGTATGTGTAAAGGTTTGCCTGTTAAGCTCCATAACAGCATACGGAAACTATTTTGGTAATATTCATATGAAAATAGCTTAAAGGGATGCTATAACTATAACATGTAATTGCATCCCATCAACAACTACAACCATATTCTGCATAATCCACATTACTGACTTCAAATGAATTCTAGTAATGTAATGTAATTGTACAAAATGAAACTACAAATCATTAAGATCTTAATTGCATTGTGAAATAGGATATTTATATTTTCCTAAAAAAATCTTCACTATCACCATCAATAAACGTATGATTACAGAAAGTAACATGGAATCAGAATGCAAAATCGTTGTAGTTGATAGAAATAAATTTGAAGAAGAAAAAAAAATAAAATTCACCTACCATTTTTAAACTTCAACGAATCCCTAGGATTGATTTGTATAAGATTTTCTTTTCCACGCAGAAAAATCAGAGCTCGCTTCCTTTTGAGCCAGCTTTATATAACTTCCAGCATTATTCCATTCCAGTGACAATGATCGATCTGCATTGCAAAAACTTGAATACTTCCCGGTTGATTCACAATAATTTTTTTCAGATTCATCTTCTATTTCTTCTTCTTCTTCTTCTTCTTACATCTTCGTAATTTTTCCTCAATCTTTTTCCCCTTTTCCCCCGAATTTTCTCTCTCTGTCTTACCACATTGGTCTCTTCGGTGTCTCCTTGTTTGTGGAAGTGACATCGTTCAATCGCTACCCTGTGAAGTCGCATCTTCTGTCTCTCAAGCACAAAATTTTCGCAGATTCGTAGCCACGAAACACGTTTTTCTCTCCAGTTGGAGCGTAGCTCATGGTGTCGCAACTTCATCTAAGGTTTGTAGTTTTTTCATCACAACAATGCAACTTTGAAATAAGAGTAATTACAAATTTAGTCCTTCTGCTTTACTCAAAATCACAAGTTTAGTCCACTATTTAAAATCATCCCAAAGTTGTCCTTAATTTTGCATCCTCTTGTGGGTCTGGTCCTTATGATTTACTAAAAATCTCAAATCTAGTACAATTTAAAACTTGCATTTCATTTTCGGAGGGACTGTAAACTTAAGCATGACTCCGAGAAGATGTTAAATTTTAGATCAATCTTACCATTTTGACTAAAGTATATGGACTAAATTTGAAATTTACTCTCCAACTAACAAAGGATACATTACAATTTTTGTCTATCTGACAAGTCTCTTTTATAGATTTTTAGGAGAAGCCAGTAAAAAACCATTTTGATTGAAGAATTTTCTCTAATAGTTGGACATGGATTAAGAAGATTGTGTTTTATGTTATGACAATCAAACTGTGTTTCACCTTGAAAATGATCTAGTGTTTCATTTAAGAATGAAAACACATCAAAATGATATGTCACTTCATAAGAGAGTTGATCGGTGAATGTATACTCAATTTGAAGAAGATCTTTGGTATTAAGAACCCTCCAAACATGTTCACCAAGGCAGTGACGTTAGAGAAGTTGAAGTGTTTCATGGCCTCAACTGATCTTCATCATAATTAGAGTCGGGGATATAAGATAGAGAGGATTTGGCAGACGAAGTTGCTTTGTAATTTAGCACAAAAGTCGGTGCTTATTGACATGTAAAGTCAAACTGAAAAGTCCCAAAGAGTTACCGTTTGAGCTCCGTGAAGCAGAATGTATCAAAAAGTCTTTTATGCGGATGTCAAAAGTTTTCGAAGACAATATGTTTCGAGAGATAGAAGAATATGGAAGGTAGAAGTGTCTCAAACTCAGTTTGCGAACTAATTACTCGGCAAAAATAAGTTTCTTCGAAATGTTTATTATTATATTTCAAAGCTCGTTGGATTTTCGGAACTCTTATTTTTAGAGAACGTGATTTTGCGAAAAATCTTATGTCAGAAAGGCCTATTGGGTTGGCTTTGAATCATATGTCATCTAGGTCAATTCCCCTAAAAATATCTCATTTATTGTAACCTTGAGTATTATTTAGAAAATGATAGTGATTGCTAGTAATATGTCATCATTGTACTAATATTCAAATTAATAAACGAACCTCTCTATCTTGTATGTGGACGTAGCTTGATTATTAAGTGAACCGTGTAAATCTTTGTATATTGTTTTGTGTTGTTCTTTGCATTCTTTTTTCGTGTTTACCTAGTCAGGAGACTATTAATCCTAACAATTTTATGGTATTTTAATGGAGTTTGAGCTCAATCATGTTAAATAAAACATCATGTGATTCATTGAAACTATGATTAAATCAAGTTATTAAAGCCTTATTATGTTTAGAAGTTAAAAGTTCTATCATCATAATTGCATATTAGAAGTGAAATCAAATTCTATAACTCAAAAATGAGGTTTTGAAGCTTGAACTTGGATTTTGGTGATAATTAATCATTTTGATTCATGATTTTAATAGGGTAATGGTGTAAACTAGGTTGTAACTAAATGTTTGAACAAAGCTTTAAACTCTAAAAAGCATCCCAAATCATTAGAACTGGAATTAGAAATGTTAAAGACATATTAGATGTACTAAATGATCATTTTTTAGGTTTTTTGAAAGAAAATGGAGTTTGGGTTTTGAAATCATGATCAGGTGCATTCACTTTAGTATACGAGTCAACTTGTGTTGTCCAAATACTTTGAGAGTTGGGATCACTATCCTTTTACAAGCAGTAAGCTTTTCAGTTGTGATTGACATTATAGATAGTCATGATCAAGGGGATGGATATTGCAAATTGATTGTGTAGTTTCTTGTAATATGGTCACATGTTACCAAAAATCTTTAAGTGAAGCCTCTAATGAGATATGAGTGTCATGCTACTACCTTGTTTATGCTTCAAGTTACCATCTTTCCTTGAGTGTGGAAAGAGAACTTTTTATGAGAGTAGAGGACTTATGTGTTAGGATTTAGAAGCATATGCATTTCATCCCTTTTCATATTGTTGCTTTCATATTGATGAGTTCTGATGATATTTTGGCAATGTTTATATTTTAAATACTATATTTTGCGAATACAATTGTTACTAAAATATTTAGTGTTTTTAAAATTGATTTTGGGTTTCACATAAGTTTGGAATCTACAAGTTTATTACACTCAACAATGTCACCCACCCAAGGGCTTTGCCCTTGGACCTTGCTATGAGGGGCGCTGCCCCCCGAACCCCATTCGTTCAGGGGCTTCGTCCCTAAATGACAGTCTACTTTGAATCTTGAACAAATTTAATGTAACGCCCGCATTTCTCGCTACGCATTTATAAGATGGTGTAATAGTTAGGGTCAACAATTGTAACCTATTTGTTCTATTCTATGTGTAATTCTTTGTAGTATATGTGCTTATAGTGATATAATAAAATCATAATAAAACGGGCGTTGTAAAAAGTAAATTTTTTGTTAGGTTACTTTTTAGCCTTAGTGATCTAAACAAAAGTCGTAGTAGTCGTTAAACCGAGGGTGTACATATAGAGAACATCTAAATCTGACTTCATTAGAGGAAGATATGATTTTTCTAAGATTTAGCATAACATTATACAACTCATAAATCAAATTTTAGACGGTCGATTTTTAGCTGAAATGATCTAAACATGAGTTGAAGATCTCGTTAATAGGAGCTCAACGATATAAAGACAGTCGGAAATGGACGCAGGATGAGATAGTTATGCATTTTATACGGGCTTTAACAGTCCAAGCATGTGTAAATAAAATGAAGTTAAAATTAGCCGACGGAGTCTAAATGAAAGTTGTAGATCTCGTCGAGAGATTTCCGTGGATATAAAGAACGTCAAAAACGGAGCTCGTATGAAGAAGATATGCAATTTTGAAATTCTGAAAATTGGCGTGTGTGCCACGTGTTAGCACACCTGAGGAGCCACATCGACCATGTGCTTGGCGTGCATGGCCCTTACGCGGCACGCATCCTGAGATTTCAGCCTATAAATAGCTTCTCAATGCTCATACATTCCCACACAAATCTAATTCTCTCTCTCTCTATTTCTACTTTTGTCCGAATTTTTCCTTAGTATTTAGGGTATTTTGGCAAGTTCTGAGGTCCCTAGGATCCAGACATCTAGTAGCTATTAGCCCGGAGTTCTGCCTGTGCAATTTCCAGACTTTTGTCTAAGGAATCCCTATAAGTTAAATTACACTCTATTTTATTTTAGTGTAATTTATATTTAAATTCATAGTCCTAATGAATAAATAAGAACTATCAGTAATTTCAAGATATAATACTGATTGATCTACTTATAGGAGAGGTGTTTAGAATAGTCATGTTGGCTTGGTTGTTGGATTTCAGAAAGGTTATACGTTAAAATGGTCCTGCCTCCCAACTGTCCTATCTGGCTGATCCTTATTTGATAGAATTATCGCTATTCATTGGAATGATTGAAAAGTCTATACTATTTTCAGTCACGTAGAATATTAGACTAAGACTTAATGATAATAATACTAGGTTACATCAAAAGAAAAGTCAATTGCTAGAAGCGAAGCGTTGTCCAAGTTTCGAGTCATCACTTTAACAAGTGAGTGTATAGTTACTTTCATCTTACACATAGATATGAAGTATTTAAGATGATTACATGCTATATGTGCATATTATTTGTGTTTCTGATATATATGGTAGATGAACGATTTATACATGTTTTACTTGATTCAAACTGTATATGTATTTTTATACTTGTAAATATATCGGGTAGATAAAAGATGATACAGATGATGAGAGATGAAAGATGAAATAAATGATGATAGGTCTTGACTTTAAAGATGATATAGTCGTCTAACAGAGTATAGATGACGACCACAGATTATTCTAGACAGTCCATTAGAACGCTAGCATGCTCGCAACCTGTACGTGTTTTTGTACTAAGTGTTCACAATGTGTACTCCATCCTCCCCCCCCCCCCTTGTTTTTGTTATTGACATATATTGTTAAGGAATCCCCTAAGCATTATTGTCTATCCCGAAAATGATTCCTTAGGATAGGTCCCTTAAATTAGATGCTTTAGGGACAGAAGATTGAATGATTTGATGAAAACATATAATTAAAAGAATTTAATTATTGTGGGTTGAAAACTCTATGTGCTCACCAGGCTCCCAAGTTTGACCCACTTAGTTTCTTGTATTACAGGTAGTAGCACGAAAGCACAGGTGTGATGATCAGATGAGAGATTTAGGGATTATAGACTAGTAGACTAATAGATGTCTGTAAGGCATGTATTATCTCCATTTATGTTTATATATTGTATTGATGATGACATCCTAACATTTTTAGTATAATTAAAATACATTTCTTCGGAAATGCTTTGAATATATTTTTATCATGTTTTTTTGGAACAAATTTTGCAATATTATTCTTCAAAATGGATAATCTGATTTTAGATAAGCATAAATAAATCGGTTTTTTCAGACCATGAAATTAGATATGTCACACTTAAACAAGTATACACTTCGCACCACCATTATTTTTTTAATGTTTATCAAGAATCAAGATTGGTTTTTGGTCAACAAATCAATCTAATTACATTTACATGATATTAGTGAAACAAATCACCAACACTCCAAATCTTAACAATAAATGAAATATTAAATTTAACTAGACAATAACAAAATAACACTTACTTCGTTACTTTTTTTTTGTTTCATCTAAATGTGATGTTAAATTTGAAATATAGTTAAAAAAATGTTTTGATTATTATTAAAGATCTAAAATACCTTTTAACAAATAATAAAATAGTGGTACAAAATGAAAGTGACCAATAAGAATATATGATGTAATAAGTGTACATGAATAAAAAATGTTTGTCAATCAAAATATCAAATGTATATTTCATATATTTTATAGAACAGCTACGAACATGCACAAATATAATAAAAGTCAATCAAATCTGAATTTCATATATACTTTATGTTCAATACAAAGTATCATTTAAAAAAATCTAAAATACCACATCGAATAAAGATCGGCCGAATAACTATATAAATATATCAAAGAAAAAGTCAAATCAACTTCCAAATGACTTTCAAACAAAATAAAAGAAATATTTCATTTATTTATTTGATGATCGAAGCATAAAATTAATCAAAATTAAAATAAAAAAGAAAAAAGTTTATAGTTTTGGGATGTTCTCTGCTCTACCTTTTTATAGTATCTTGCTAATAAATTAGTTTAAAAGTAAAGAAGTTGATTCATAAATAATAGTGTCTTTAAAACATAATAATTTATGTTTTAAAATATTGTAGTGTATAATTCTATAAAACATAAGTTATTATGTATAGGAAAAAAAGATGTACCAATCATTTTCTTTAAATTATTTTTAAAAAATAAATACAATAACTAAACAATTAAATAGCACCTTATTTGAAATATCAAATTAAAATAATAAAATACAAGGCACCATCGCATAACACAATCAACAAGATCATTCAAAACACGCATGTATCACATACACAATTATTATAAATCAAATAAGATCAACCAGGTGTATAAGCAAATCCTTCATAATCACATTTATACAACTAATAATAAATTTTTACATAAAACTTATGAAAAATTTACATTTTTAAACTTAAATAATGGTGTAAACTTGGATTTCACAAGAAGAGTTGGGGTTGGGTTGACAGGGATAGAAAAAAGGATATGGTTTTTTGTCCGAACTAATATTAAATATTTTTTTATGAGTCGAATGTTTTTGGGTGTGTAGATAGGTTTCGATATTGTATGACTAAACTAGTTGTGTATGAGTATATATTTTTACATATTTTTGTTTACATGTTTTGACCAAGATCCAAAAGTGAACTCATTGCCGTAAATACTTAAATCTGATAATGTATTTAAATTGTGTAATACTTTTTTTACAAAAAAAATGAACAATGTTCTTAACAAAAAAAAAAAAAAAAAAAAAAAAAAAAAAAAAAAAAAAAAAAAAAAAAAAAAAACCAACTCTACTATTACATAGGTCCATGCAGAATATAATACTACTAGTTATATGGACAAATAAGATTTTGAAACTAAATAAATAAATAAAACACACAAACCTAGAAACACGGTCGGTCATGAGAATTCAAATGTTCAGGACGAGCTAGAAAAAAAAGGTCATTAAGCCCTAATGTATAACAAATTAAATTAAATTAAATTATATATATATATATATATATATATTAAAAAACTTTTTATGTGCATCAATGTATATAGAATTTGTCTACCACGAGAATCTACAAACATGTTTATCAACGCCCATAAAACTAGTATTATGAAAAATGACAAAACACCTTTTATAAAGAAACAATATTTCAAATGCACCTTTAGAAGATGTTTCCCCAAAGAAGGCTTCAATTTGCAATATGTATCTAAGACCACTCATTGTCCCGACTCACAAAACTCAACAAGACCAATTACCATAATTTGCAAATATAATTACACTAGGCGAATCCCCGCGCGTTGCACGAGAATATAATTATATAGTTAAAATAATAACTTTTACCAAATTATTATTTAATATTTCTACTTTGAAACAAAATGTTAGTAGTAAAGCAAACATATAGTTAACATATTAGTTTTATTAAACATTATAGTTTAATTTTTAAGTCATTGTGATATATACAATTATTTGATAATTTTATAAACCGTTTAAAATTTTGTAAATTATATATCAAATGAATGATAATATAACAGGTAAGAAAACGTATGAACAAAAATATGAACTGCAACTTTTAGTAACATAAAAATAGAAAAACATATATTATAACATTGTATTATATATATATATATATAATATATATATATAGATATATATATATATATATATATATATATACAACGAATAATAAAAAATATGAAAATAAACACTATAACTTTTAATAACATAAAAATACTAAAACATCTATTATAACATTTATATTAACTCTTCATATTTAAATCACAAATCTCTTCAAATACATTAATGTTTTTAATGAGCAAAACTTTACAACCTTCTAAAAAAAAGGAAAATAAAAAGTTATTAGTGATTACTAATTAATAATCATAAGTTAAAAACTCTTGAGTTATAACTAATAAATATACATAAATTAGAAAACTCTTGAGTTGTAGTGTGAGTTTCAAATGAATGCGGTACTTGAAAACGTATATTTATTATTATTATTATTATTATTATTATTATTATTATTATTATTATTATTATTATATTCGTCAAAATAATTGGTTTTGATGCATCATTTTAATCCCTTCAGTTATTAAACATAAAGATATTTAATTATAAATTTATAACATACATAGGTGCATATACATGTTAAACAAATCATATATAATATATATATATTCGTAAATGTAATATGTAATTTTTGTCGTAGTAATATGGATAAATTACTTTCATATAAAGAACATATCATGATAAGTCTATCATAATTACATATCAAATGTTCAAAATTATGTTATCTTTTAAATATTGTCTTTTAAATATGTTGTGTAGGATAACCCAACAAAAAAATAATAGAAAATAAACATAATCAAAATAGAAAAATTACAATCAAATAAATAAGAGCATTGGGTGGTTGAATATATAAATAAAGATGTTACATACACATCCATTTAAATCAAAAGAAAAGCTAACATTCGTCAACTTTGCTCAAACAAAAAAACCTATATCAATTTTATGAATCTTCTTTCTTCATTTAACATCATTCAACCATAGAAACTTGATGGCAATTCTTCACTAACCTGCAATGAAAATATTTTTCTTGAAAAAGAAGAATCGGAAAGATATTTCAAGCAAAACATTGATGTTTTGAGAGTCACATTCAAGATTGAGTAATACACACAAATCACATATAAAGATTAAATGAGAAACTGAATATAAAGAAATAATAGAAAAGCTTCATTTGTTTTGGTTGAAAGAAAAAATCATATTACAATTACCATCGATGCGACATAACCCATTTCTTCAAATCATCATATTTGGATCGTGAATGCTTCAACTATATGAAAACTTTTGAATCACAATATCTTTAAATCCTTCTTACATGTAAGATTTTATATAACACAAAAGACACAAAAGATTGGCCTTTTTATAATAAACTTTTCACTAAATGCCAATTAAACATAATATAAGTTATAAAACTTTTGAGTGTTAAATCATAATTAAGAAAACTTTTGAGTTGCATTAGTTAAAAAAGAGGGTTTCAAATGAATGTGGTTTGAGGAAGTTAAAAAAGGGGGTTTCAAATGATGAGATTCAAGAAAAAATGCTAGTTTTATAAGTATGTATGATCCTAAATGGAAAGATTAGTTCATTTTCTTGACAACCATGATAAACAAACAAGCTTTTTCATTATTCTCAGATACCAAGTTCAACTGGAAGCACACGTTTAAGGAATCTAAAAACATATCGTAGCATATTAAGAAGTACCAATTCTTAATATAACAACATTACAAGAAAATGTTTTTTTTTCAATTTTCGCACAGTGAACATATGCATAAAACAAATAGAGAGGCCTTTAATGAACACAAGTGAACACAATATATCCTTAAGTACCAAAAGGGAAATAACCGATTACCTAATTAGCATAAACTGATAATCTCATAATCAGATTTCAATTTCTGATAAATAAGTAACATACTCTGATTTGATGATTTCTCATAATCTGATTTTTGATTTCAACATTCAATTTATGATAAATGATAATCTATTAATCTGATTCAAGGTCAACATTCAGAAAACTATAAAACTAAGGGGTCGTTTGATAGTTGCTAACTGAATTAGAGCTGATTGAGTTAGAAGCAGACTGAGTTAGAAGTTCGAACTGAGTCCACATCTGACTGAGTTTATGCTGTTTGATTATTTTTTTGACCGACTATGGTGAATGATGAAAAAATGACTATATTACCCTTATGACCACATATGACTGAGTTTTTTTTTTGAATGGATGCATGTTAAATTGTTAAGTAATAACAAATACAAACAAATGGATTGTTCATTTCACCAATGTGTGTTACATTATACAACTGCAACTCTATTTTCCTCCTTCAAAGAATTAAAAATGACATCAAAATCTGTATGAGAAGCCTAAGGAGGTTAAAACTTAAAAGTTTACATGGTTTCCACAAACTTAACATTATGAGACACAAATAATCTTCCATCCAAAGGCTTCAATCGACCCACTAATCTCTCTAATCCAACCCATACAAGCTTATCAGGCATATGAAGAAACACAGCACTTGCATACACTAAATCATACATAAATCCAGACCCAAATCTAACAAACTCCATATCTTCACCTTTCAAGATAAAAGGATGTTTATAAAGCAACCCTTGTGCAGGAAGTTCATACCTAAATGCAGCCATGAGAGAGAGCTCGTCTCTTTCTAAACAATGGAAATGTTCTGGATTCAAGTATCAGATGAAATGTAAGCCAACTCGAAGTGTACCACATCCGATTTCAAGAACACGTGATTCTGGAATTAAGTGAGAGGATTCTACAAGGAATTCGAATACATCTCTCCCACCAGCCCCAAGGTTCTCCATAGTTACTGTGGTGTTGTTCTACTAGGAGTTCACCTGGACATGGAAAGGCTGTGTGGTTCTTTGCTTCTTCCTCTTGTTCATAATGTGATATCCCTTTGTACCTGTAATTGTGATGAAACAAGTCAAGGATAGATCTATTAATTCATATCATCGTACCATAAGATTAAGCACCACTGATTTCAATTTGTTATAGTACACAACTGTTCAATTCGGTTTTAAAATTGCAGCAATTGCAAAGCGAGATAAAAAACAAGACAGATATCTGAGTAATTTACTGGATCAAATCGTGAAGCTGTTGGGCGCGAGTACGAGGATTGATACCCTTGCAGAGCACATTATCATGCATATGCAGTCCATTCATTTCGATCTGAGTCTTCACCCAATCGATTTCATCTTCTGAAGCCGAGATTCGTTCCTGTGGTTTCAGATAGGAGGAAGAAGCGAAGGCGTACATGAGGAACAAAGGTGAAGGGCAAATACGTGAAAGGAAAAAAAAAGGATCGAGTCGGCTTCTTTTTGTTGGAGGACTGAATTAGCATAAAATTGGGGACCGAGTCCCTGATTTGGACCGAGTCCAAGGATGCTAAATTCTAATTGAGGGTGAACATATTAACCGAAAACCACACCAAAACCGAATCAACCAATATAATTGAACCATTATAATCGAACCATTACTAAAAGATGGTGTGATTTCTAATATTGATTAACCGAATACATATGATTCCCTTATGGTTTTCATCAAAAACCAAATCACTACAAAATGAACTGAATCAATCCAACAATATTAACTAAACTATAATATATATATATATATATATATATATATATATATATATAAGGTATATAATATGTAATTATATTGGAAACTGAGAATTTGAAGAGTAATCATGTCACAGTTATAAAGTACTTAATTTTGAATTAGATTTAGTTATACAATTTGGTATTAGTTAATCACCATTAATTTACCACTTGTAATTTTAGCAACCTACTTTCTAATTTTATTCACTTTTTATAACAATGATTTTTTGTTTCTCACATTTTATAGCAATGTAGTTTTTATCGCAATGATTTTTTTTTGTTTCTCACATTTTATAGTAATGTATTTTTATTTCCATATCATTTTGAACCATTATCGTTAACCGATATTAATCAATGACCGAACACCATTAACCGACTAAAATTTTAACCGATTCACATTGGTTACCAAAATTCATTAATCGATTGCAATGATTATGGTTTGGTTTTAGCCTATAACCGAACGAAACTGACCCATACACACCCCTAGAAAATATAGCATATACATGAATTTTAATTAATTATTTTTTGAAGCAACATATATAATATATGATCGATAACATGTATACAATATAATTTACATTAACGATTCAACCACAACATACATCAATTGTATTAAAAGAATACTATAACCAAAAAAATATAAAAAAAAGAATTAACATATAACAAACATATAAATTAAAAGCTCTACCATAATAAAATAATTCAAAAAAATGGTCAAAATACTTCAAACCAACACAAAAATCTTTAAGCTTGTTTTTTTTTCAATTGTATGTGATTTATATGGTTGTCTACATAAAAGATTGACCTTTTATAGTAATATTTTCATTAAATGCATATTAAACATAATATATATGTTATAAAACTTTTGAGTGTTTAAGTCATTATTAAGAAGAATTTTGAGTGGTATTAAATAAAATAGGGGGTTTCAAATGAATATTGCACTAAGATGTTATAAAATATTATAATTATTTTAAATATACCATAAGACATACATATATATATATATATATATATATATATATATATATATATATATTAAAACCAAATCATTATAATAGCATCTACTTATGGTCAATCAATTTAGATAGATGTATTTTAGGATCATATCATCTCAATGGTATCCATTCATATGTTATGTGTGAACTTAGTTAGTTAAATGTAGTTTTTTATTTGATACATTTTTTCACTATTGACATTGTTAATTGGAAAACCATTTATTTAAACATTTTTTTATTTCGTTTATGATTAATTCAAACATTAATCGTTTTTCCAATGTATCATAATCTATTTTTTTTAATTTATGTTGTTTAAACTATTAATGTTATCATGTTGTTTTAAGAAAATAGTTATAACAATTTTTTATTTACTTATTATAGAAAAAACAATATTTGTTAATAAAATGAGAATTATAAACATCTATTGGTGTTTAATTGTTAAGGAAATTAAGCATTTGGTTGAAAATACTTCATATACTACAACTGGGTGGAATTTTAAGATATTTATAAATAAAGTTATTAGTAATGCTAATTATTTTAAATCTTACTTGTGTTCATTTGTGTCGTACACCAAAGGGAAAAAATAGAAAGGACAATCGCATTCCAATAATAAAAAAAGGTAAACATTTTAGAATTTTTTCTATATAAGTGGAACAAAGATAAAACTTGTGTAGCAAGACTTTTTCAAAACAAATATAAAGGTACCTAAATAACACAAATATAATTTTTTTACTCTATCATAACATAATCCATAAGGTTAAATGTCCATCTATGTTTAACGTGGATATGATGCATACAACAAAAAAACGCCAACGATCAAAGTATTGATCATTCTCATATTTTTCTTCCCGTAAACACCATAAACGCAAAGTAAAATACAATTACAAATATAAAGTACAATTACAACCACCCATAAATGAAAACTGAAATATAATTACAAACATAAAGTTACCACACAACCACCCACATTGCACAATAATCTGCATATAACATAAACAAAAAGATATTAACATATAAAAAGAATATTATGAACCAAAATCTAATATTAGACATCCACTACAATTAAATATACAACATCCGACCACCATTTTTTTTAAATCCATAACACAACAAATCACATTTTGCCTTTTCTATATAAAAACACAATGTAATCAACATTCTTCTTACATGAGTGATTGGAGAAGTGTGGTGCAATGTTGCTAAAACTGTAATGTTTCAAGTTGGTGACATTATAAACTAAGAAGATGCAGAAAGAATTTCACTTAAAGTGAGATGTTTAGGAAACCAAGAACTAAAGAGAGAAACAAAGATTCATAAATCACATGTAACAACTTATATAACATGTTTGATGTATAAGCAATTAATAATCATTACTAAAATACATTTGAAAAGTCATTGCAGAATATAAAAAAACATGGGAGTTTCAAATCACTATGGTGCTTGGAAATTTGTCTCTTTTATAAGTTTTGAGAACATGAAAGGACAAAGGAGTTTCAAATCAATGTGATGCTTAGAAAAATGCTAGCTTTATAAGATACTAGGCGAATGCACGTGCGTTGCGCAGAATACAATTATAAATTTAAAATATTTGTTAAATAAATATAAAAATGTGATACTTAACTTTGATATAATAATTCTTATACTGATTTAGTATAAAATATTAATTATTTTGAATTATATGATCATATTAAATCTATTAAAACTATATAGGCTTAATCGTCTCAGTGGACTCTATCAGCATGTTACTCATAAATAAAATTAAATAGAGTATATAAATTAATGTTATTTATAGTTGTTGTTATGATTAATTAGTTTAAAAAAAATAGATTTTAAAAACTACATTTGATTAACTTTTTAATTTCTATTACTGTAGTTATTTAAAACATCAAACATTGTTTTTGTTTTTAAAGGTAACAATATTACTTTTAACTATTATCGTTGTAAGTTATTTGTAAGATACTTATTTAGAAATTATTAATGTTTATAAAAATAGTTTTAGGAAATATTTTAATTGATTTGGGATTACAATTTAGTTATTACGTTTAACACTATAATTTATAACTTATAACTATTTACAAAATAGTCATTGGATTTTCTTCAAGTTTAATTGAAATTTTCATTTAAGTTAGTACTTTAACACTGTATTTAAATTAACAATTTAAGTATTTTATACAAATTATTCAAAAGTTATGACTTTAAACTGACAATTTAAGAAATAACATATCAAAACTAAGTATAACTAAAATATGTATATTCAAGTTTAGTTAATTTTAGGATTACAATTATCTTTTTACATCTATTTAACATTATTAATCAATGTATAATCATTATTAGAAAGAAAATTGAAAAGTAATGAGAGTTTCAAATACATAAAAATAAAAATATATCTTTCAGATTTACATAGAAAATTTAAAATATTCACGACTTTTACTTAGTTACTTTTTTGAAGCGGTACAAAACAAACGATAATATTTAACATATCTAATTAAATATTATCTACATCACGGTATATAACATATGATCGATAACATCTATCTGATCTAATATATTAACGATTAAAGCACAACATACAACAATTGTATTAAAAGACTCCAAAACCAAGAAAAATATATAAATAATTAGTATACAACAAACTTACAAATTAAAATCTATAACATAATAATATATCTCGAAAAGTGGTCATAAGACCTCAAACCAACACAAAAATCTATAACATAATAATATATCTCGAAAATGTGATTTGTATGCATGTCTACCCAAAAGATTGATTATTTTATAGTAAACGTTTCATTAAGTACTTATTAATCATAATATAAATTATAAAACCTTTGAGTGTTAAATCATTATTAAGAAGACTTTTGAGTTGTATTACTTAAAAGATGGGGGTTTCAAATGAATGTGGTTTGAGCAAAAATGTTTCTATATAGTCTTGAGAGTTTCAAATGCATAAGGTTCAACGAAAAATGCTAGCTTTATAATATACTAGACGAATAATCGCGCGTTGCGCGACACATGTTAAAAATATATTGTTAAAATAGTGAAAAATATATGTTTAAAATGGTTATTTATTGACATTAACTTTGACATAATATTTTTACACTAATTTATATATATAATCTCAACTATTTTGAACAATATTATTCATTGACATCAACCTACATTCCTCATTAATATAATTAATATAATTATCTATTTAGTAGTATTTATAAAAAAATGTTATGATTGATTAATTAAAATTTTTTACTTATGTGATTATTTTCTAATTTCAATAATGATGATCATTTAGAGTACAATTTATTTGTAGCTAATGTTACATAATTTTTAATTTGATGCTATTATCATTTAAAATTATTGTTCATTAATTTTAAACAACTTATTATTATTAATAAATTAAAGAAGACTTTTAAGAAGCATTTAATACTATTACTCAAATATGAAACATATACTAAATAATAAAATGATAAGATTGACAATTTGTATTTCAAAAGAGACTTTCATCGATAATATAAAATATCCATGATTTATATAATTTACCATTTATTATTATTAATAAGTGAAAGAAAACTTTTAAAAAACACTTACTATTATAATTAAAATATTAAACATACACTAAAATATAAAGTGATAAGATAGACAATTTGCATTTTAATAGAGACTTACA